AATAACTTTTGAATGCATTTCTATATGTTTTCATTGTGTTTTTAATTTTTTTTGTTTGCCACAAACCTTTCAAAAAATCACTAGAAATATGACATTTAGCAAAAGTTTTCACTAAATCACCGAACTTGTTCAAAAATCACTAGAACTAGTGAAATTTCACTAGACCTGGCAACATTGCTCAAAGCTGTTCAGAGGAGGGCTGTCTGACTGATCGATACTCTTCTTTGACGGACAGTCTCGTGATTCTTTCACACCGACCGACGAACCGGCGATCTGGTTCTCTTCTACCGCTTTGTCAATGTGCTTTGCTCCTCAAAGCTGTCCTCCAAGATGTCGCCCAATTTCGGTCTCCCATCCTAACCTTGTCCAACTTCGGACTTGCAGAACTGGCCGATACGACCGCCTCTTTGTCCCTGGGGTATCGAAATTGTGGAACAATCTGCGTGAAGAGGCTTTATCTAAGTAGTTCAAAAATCGGATTAACAAGATGACTTTAAGCCCCTTATAGCAGCTGCGGTTCCCCGGGGTTTAGGATTCTGCCTATGCGGCTGCTTCGGTATAAAAAAAATACATACAGCCCTCTCAACTCTTTCATCGAGCCCAAATAAAAACATTTCCGCAAATTTGGAAACAGATGAAAATCTGAGGGTGCCAAATCAAGATATACGGAGGGGATGGTCGAACAAATCATACCACAAATGTTTTCGCGTTCTTAACACACCTTTGAGAGCAGCTGCATTGTCCTGGGGCCTGATTCTAAATAATCAAATTCAAGCGATCGGTTCAAGCGAGTGAGGTTAACAGTTTGGTTATAAGATCCGTGACGTCATGAATCAGCTGTTATATGTCATAGTTATCACCGTAAAATTGTGGTATTTACCCAACTCCGGAGTAGTCTGGTTATTATTTGAAATGTGACAAGTAAGAATTTCGGCGGGTGATGGATATTTTTGTTGAACTTCAGCTTCATTTTTGAGAAACTTGAGAAACTTAAGTTGTAGCATAAAATAGAGCACCTTATTGGATATACTCATTACTGTTGTTGGGGACACTTTAAATCTAGATCCTATGCTTAACAAAGTATCATGTATAGCCATATACCACAAGAATATTAAAATATGGCCATATAAACTCACTGGATAATGTCCACCTGTATACGGTTTTGCTAATACCTTTTTTCATCTCTTTTTCGTATCATTTCTGCTAAATCAATAAATGTTTTCTGTAACATGCGGAAAAGTTTAGAGAATTGAAGGTTATCTTAGCTACAAAGCCCCAGGGTTCCATCATTAAAAAAAATCTGAAAAAAACTTTATCCCATTAATATTATGAAAGGTTTATTTTTTAAACTTTCCATACACTGTTCTAGACGAAAAAGCACCGATTATTAAGTGATAATAAAAATAGTCAGACATTATATACGCGCTTTTCTAAAATAAACAACTTGCAACAAAACCGCGGTTAAAACCAGCGCATTCAAGCGATTCGAGTAATTGACGTCTTCAACCCGTGTGTCATCTCAAACCATATTTTAACCGCGGTACATAATACAGAAATTTTGGTTATTCGCTTGGATTTGATTAATGAGTTTCGACCGTTGAAATTAATTTCGATGGCGCCTTGTGACAATACACTTGATTAGCTATGATAATTTTGACACTGTCATGATAATTTGAATATAGAAGATCAATATAATCAGATGTCAAAATTATTATCATAGCGAATCAACTACATCGCCAGGACGCGCCATCGAAATCAGTTTCAACGGTCGAAACTCATTTAAAATCAGGCCCCAGATGAAAAGCCAGCCCTCTTCTCACAAATTTTGGCATCCAGTTGATCAACGAAGTTGACAGGGCCGGCTTTAAAGTTTTGTGCGCCCTGAGGCCCGCTGAGCTTTCTGATCCCTAGATCACTTCCGAAATCCTCACGGACTATGCTTATCACCTTTGCATGCCAATCGTTCAACATGATGTCGATGGTTACATGTGTGGTGTCGTTTTGGTCGCCTTCAGGTGGGTATTTTCAATATTTGGAATCTGTTAGGGGCTCAAAGTACACCAGACTCTTACCTCAGCATTTAAGATTTATTGGCTGGAAAATTGTACACTGGTAACGGTTACCAAAGCTAGATTCATAATCTTTAGTCCAAGGTGCTACCTGGGTCCGTCGGATCAACCCTGAACTTCATCCGGAAATTTTGTATCTAATAACCGGTATGACCCTGCAAAGTTTGTAAACTTCATTTCCATGACGGATTCCTCTATGGCTTCTTAAGATCTAGCCAAAAAAGTCAAATCGTAGAAGTTCTTCCCAACTTTTCGGCGTAGCCTAGCCGAAATACTCTTTCAGTCCACACTCCAACTAAGGCCTTTCTTCTTTTCCTCCTGACTCTTCACTGAGCCTACGTACTTCCGGAAACTCTCCACCATCTTAAGGATATACGAGGTCTGTAAATTAAGTGATGAGACTGGCAACGAAGCGTTCGATGTGGCAACATTGGATTCGTGGGGCTTGGAGGAGAGACAGGAGAACATGTAATCCGCTTTCAGTCCAAGTTTTAACTCGCTCGCGTCATTTGATTGTCCGTAGCGATATTTTTTTTGCGAAACCATTGTGTTCTAAAAATGAGCGACATCGAGTTCAAGCAATGGTGTGATATCAGATTTTGCTTTAGACTTGGGCACAGTACAACGGAAACACTTGCTAAACAGCTCTATGGAGATAGTGAAGATAAACCAAGAAACGGAACGCCTTCGTTTCCACGAATTAATGAAAATATCGACAGAATCGGGGATCTTGTGTATTCAGATCGTCGGTTGACAGTTAGGAAGGAGATAAATTTAACTCACACCACCGTTAATCAGGTCAAGAACAACTGGGTGTTACATCACGATAATGCTCCTTGTCGGGTTATAATCATTAGTTTATCAAATTAAGTACAATTTGAGCAGTCTCAAGGATTGGTGATATTTTTAGTTCACCTTAACCCACGAAAAATACTTAAATCTCATGGCATAATCTACGATCTTGTGCAAGGAAAATTTATGTTATGTGTCAGACACCCCTTCTAAAACCGTAACAAATCGCAGTAGTCCATGTGAAATTTTGTTAACTTCGGAAGAAGGGGTTTTACATCCAACATGAATAATTTGATGACAGCACGAGGTTCAGGCTTATCCATCCTATCCACACTAACAAATGGCATGTGCACTCTTGCAGGAATCATACATTTGCGTTAGTTGAGTTCTGTGTATGTGTCATGCCGATAACTTTTTACTTTATCCTCGTATTTCCTATTTCAGCCCCCTCTGGCCCTATATCCGCCTCCTCAAACTCAGTCTCCGCCTCCTCAAGTGGAAAATGTAGTCGATTCCAATTCGAATGTCGCGGCGGCAACGGCGAATGTATCGCCATCTACAACGCGTGCGACGGCGTACCGCAATGTGCCGACGGAAGCGATGAAGCACCAGAATTGGGCTGTCCTGATTTGCTGATGGCGGGACAGGCGCCACCCACCAATACGCAAGCCCCGCCCGTTAGGGTGGAGACTCAGGCGCAGCGGGCGGGGTTGAAGCAGATGGGTGCTGTGTACGATGGGGGAGTGCCAAATATGGTGAGTTCGGTTTTATTTATGTAGCTAGACCAGAGTTCCCCAAACTTTTTTGTGTCGTAGACCCCTTGCCATGTTTTTCCGTGTTGGGTAGACCCCCTACTTACCTGATATTGATTTCCTCTAAATTTCTAACTGTAGTGAAGTTTAGTGTTAAAAACTTAAAGTACAAACACATGTTAATTTATACATTTATTAATTGAATTTAAATTAAAACTACTCAAAATAAAATTTTGTATCTGTTATGTAAAATATACGTAACATTAAATAAACAGGTGTCTGACCAATAAGTGCCCGCATTGGGAATAAGTGCCCGCATTGAAAAAAATAAGAGGGATAAAATAAAAAAAAAGTGAAAAATAATAAAAAAAAAGTTTTTTACTTAAAATAGTACAATAAGCGAGTTCGTTTATTAATTATAACATAAACGTATGTTCTACAATAATTTCACTGTTAGTTTGATTAAATTCCGCTTCCTATACGTTTAAGTTATCTAAAAATAGGCAAAAAATTAACGAATTTTAGTGTGTACCTATCCTTGAATTTTCAGAATAATTTTTAAAAAAATATTTTCTATAAAGGGGGGTTCTTTAAAAAAATCAATGCGGGCACTAATTTCCAATGCGGGCATTTATTGGTCAGACACCAATAAACATAAAATAAACTATAAATAAAATAACATAAGCAATAAGTCAATATTTTTAGTGAGAAGGATGAACCTGATGCTTTAATAATAAATTATCAACATTTGGCGTCAATTTTGTAAGGGTTAATCTTAAATCTCCTCGGCTAATGATGTCCAGTCTATTTCTTTTTTTCGTTAGGAGATTGGTAACAGCGCTGAACCCCCTTTCCACTAGGTAGGTATGACGATGGAAAGGAAATTAAAAATTTCCTCGCTATATTCCATAATACGGGATAAGTAACGGGTATGTTGTTTTGCAGCCAGAATTGCCGTTTTTAAACTGAACCTTAAGTTCTTCGTTTGTACTTAGTTCAGTCGGTTCCTCTTGTATTATGACATTCGTTTCTTCTATGTCACCATATGGATTAATTATCCACGATGGTATTACCATAGTCAAAATATCCTCAAACCTAGATTCAAAATCTGAATAGAGGGCATTTAAATGTTGAACGTAAGTTGAAACGTCGTCTTCCTGACAGCTTGTCTGTGACAAATTGGGGAACTGAGAAAATTCTCCCCCTCCAATATTTTGCTTCATTAGTTTAACTCTAGCAAGAATCGCTGATAAGATGGACTTTGTTTTAATCAAATTTAAACTGTCGCCTTGTAATTGCAAATTTACCATATTAAATTTTGTAAACAAATCTGTTAAATAGGCGATGTCTGTTTTCCTCTTCATTAAATTTTTTTTTAAAATTTTATCTTTAGTATCCAGAAATTCTACACTGGGCTCAAAAAGTGCAAAAAATCTTGTCAAACATAAGCCTTTCGACAGCCAGCGTACTTCAGTGTGAAGGAGTCATTGATCAAAGTGTTCATCATTTTCTTCGCACAACTGCGCAAATAACCGCGTATTCAACGCGTTGCTTCGGATTCGGTTTACTGCATCAATGACTAAATGAAGTGATTCATGCAATCTAACACTCAAATTTTTAGCAACTAAATGTTGTCGATGGATGACGCAATGTATTGCTAACACCCCTGACACATTTTGTTTTAAATAGCTTATAAATCCACGATAACGTCCAACCATGGCAGGCGCTCCATCTGTAGCTACTGATATTATATTTGATAAAGGAATTGCTTTTTCAATGAAGTAATCCTTCAAAACATGAAATATTGATTCACCTTTAGTGTCGGTTATCAAAGTTCTTGCGAAGAGCAGTTCTTCGTAGATTTCTTGATTCATAATAAAACGAACATATGCCAGTAATAATGCTGCATTATCAGGTAAAGTTGACTCGTCCAGTTCTTTAGAGAAATGGGTCGTTTGCAAATAATTACATAAGAAGCTTTCAATATCAGAACTCATTTCATCAATACGTCTTTCAACAGTATTGTTGCTTAATGGGATTCTTTTAATGATATCAGATGCAGGTTTGTTTAAAACAGTTTTTAAAACATCTTCGACGGCTGGCAAAATTGACTTATCTCCGGTAGTATGCGGTTTTCCGGATTTTGCTATAAGTAACGAGATATTGTAAGACGCCCGCAAACCATCATCATTTCTTTGTGACGTCGAAGCGAACATTCTGTCCAGTGTAGGTCTCTTCTGAAATTTATCTTTGAGTGTTTGAAAGTAGGTATTTCAAATCTTTCTCTGTTTTATCAGGGTGGCATCTTCTCAGATGATCTTGCAGTTTAGATGGTTTCATAGCGTCATTGTCCAAAACTTTGTTGCATAAAAGGTACATAGGCGATTGTTTGTCCGGCAATGATGGAATGAAGCCAAATTTCAAATAATCAACACTGTACTTACTGTCTACATTTCTTTTTAGATTCGGACATGGCATCAGTCATCTGTGGGCATAATTAAATAAAGAAAATCTAGCAGCTGTATATTAAAAATATTTTTGGATTTTTTCGAAAACATTCCATAATTCGAACAACTTCTTGCAACAATTAGCTCGAATTACGAAGATTGCATTGTAATTATATTACCGATTGCTAAAACTTTCAAAAAGAAACTATTGAGGAGTACTCGTGTAATTTTGCATGATTGAATATTTAACTACTAATAACTAAAGTCATGATTGGCGTAATTTATCTATCTTTGCTAACTACGAGTACAAAACTAAAATTTAATAAAAAATAATGTACTTACTTTTCTCCAGCACTCTCAACGAAGACCGACAGACAATGTTCCGCAACAATGGGCGCGTAGCGATAAAGAAAAAGCAGACTTATTTGCACAATACCTGACTGATGTATTTACTCCTAATGACGCTATACCGGATCAAGAAATAGTCGAACAGCTTACCAACTTACCATCCCATTACTCAGCAATCAAACTGCTCACCCCAAAACAAGTGAAAACTGAAATAAATAACCTATTTATCAAAAAAGCACCTGGTATTGATAAAATCACACCAAAAATGATGAAAGAACTACCAGACAAAGCAATACTGATGTTAATGTACATATACAACGCAATCCTCAGACTCAGTTATTGGCCTGAACAACTGAAGACTGCAGATATTATACTTATACCAAATCCAGGGAAGGACCCAAGAATAACTTCATCCTATCGACCAATAAGCTTATTATCAATAGTCTCAAAGATTCTGGAAAGATTACTGCTACGTAGGATTAATAACGATTTGCCAGAAAAAAACTGGATCCCCAACCATCAGTTTGGATTTCGGAGTGAACACTCTACCATACAGCAATCATACAGAATGGTACAAACAATTAATTCAGCACTAGAAAATAAACAGTACTGCACATCAGTATTTTTGGATGTAAGTCAGGCGTTTAATAAAGTTTGGCATGATGGTCTGCTGTTTAAAATTAAAAACTGTACTACCCATAAAATACTTCAAAATATTGAAGTCGTTTCTAAGTCAACGTAAATTCCGAACTAGAGTAAATGAACAAACATCGAATTTCCATCCTATCAAATCAGGAGTTCCCCAGGGCAGCGTTTTAGGACCAATGTTGTACACCTTGTTCACCGCAGATCTTCCTATTTCCCAAAATACAGTCACAGGAACATTTGCCGATGATACAGTAATCCTTGCCAGCAACAGCGATTCAACGTTAGCTTCGAATTCTCTACAAGATCATCTAGAAATGGTGGAAACATGGATGAAGAAATGGAAGATAAAAATTAATGAAAACAAGTCACAGCAAGTAACCTTCATACTACGGAAAGGGAACTGTTCACCAGTATATATTAATAACACAGCTGTTCCCCAGTCCATTTCAGCGAAATATCTTGGGCTCCATATGGATAGCAAACTGACGTGGAAACAACATATCATTAAAAAAAGAAAACAAATAGACTTGCATGTGAAAGAATTATCCTGGCTGCTTGGGAGAAGATCCAAATTATCTCTGTCAAATAAGCTTCTGGTATATAACACCATCATCAAGCCAATATGGGCATATGGAGCAGAACTATCGGGCTGCGCAAGTAAATCTAATATTCAGATAATCCAGAGGAGTCAATCGAAAGTACTCCGTATGCTAACTGATGACCCTTGGTATGTGACCAATGACACTATCCACAGAGATCTCAATGTTCCATTGGTGAAAGATGTGATTCGAGAGAGGAGCAAGAAACACCACAGAAAACTGGAAAATCACAGTAATACATCATTACAACCTCTATTAGAACCCCCTAACCGCAGACGACTTAAGAAATATTGGCCAGCAGACCTACTTGATGTTTGAAGAGGTCTCATCACTGGATGGGACTTCATCATGCCACAACTAGTGCTGTGAACAGTACTATGGACAGCAGATTAGCTTATAGAATTGTTAATTTCTGATTGCTAATAAAGGATTGATTAAAAAAAAAAATCGTATTTATAGAGTGACGAATTGAACGTGCAAGGTAGCGAAGCTCTGAGACTGCGACTCTCAGGTTTTTACAAGTTCAAAATGTATTGCGACCACAAAGCGAATACCAACATCCTACAACTTACACAATTTAATAAACAAATATAATAATTTTTTTCTTCATAGGTACTTTTATAAATAATGTATATGTTTTGATATGATAAGATAGTATGATGTAAGTAAATAGGTACTATCAGTGTATGTGTTGAGATCCACTATGGTGGACCCCATATTCATTTCATGGACCCCCAAATTTTTTTTCGCTGACGTAGACCCCTTGCAGGTTGTCATAGACCCCTAGGGGTCGATATAGACCACTTTGGGAATCAATGAGCTAGACGTACGATCTTGATTTTGGTTCTTATACAAAGCGGCTCACAATAAGATGTGAGCATACGTAATGAAAAATTATGACATATTTGAAATTAGTCCATTAAAAATTCCGCTCTACAGCAACTTGAGCGATTCGTTAGACCTTCAAGTTAGCTTTGAACATACACCCAGGGGATTAGGTCTCAGAGAGCTGGATGCTCTAGAGCTAGAGAATCTGTATTTCTCTTTTAAGATATCATGCTTTATTCTTTAACCACAGAAGTTACAAGAATGTACTGTTTTCAGTTCAACATATTTCTTTCAAAATATGCGTAAGAACTGTGGATGTATGTCATAAATAGGAACATAGAGGGAATTCTGGGGAGCCTTAATCATGCTCCAAGGGTCTCAATGACTTTGATGTCTGAACAGACAGCTATAGGTCGACAGATTAGAATACGTAGGAAATAATGAATACCAAAAATTATGTCAATTGTTTTCTGAAAACGTTTTATTTATATCTTTTTAAAAACAAATTAGAACTATAAAATAACATCTCAGTACCATAAATTATGACATCATACAATCCAATAATCTAAAATTATTAGTGTTATTCCAAAATAGTTACTGTAAACTCAAACCACTGGTTATAGTATTCTCCAAAAGGTGCCCGATCGTATGTTGTATTTGGACGTTCACTTAGCAGTAATTTCCTTAGTAGTAACAAAAACAGATTTCATTTTCCATTTAAGGATCTCCCTTTAACCTTCCAAGTGATTATTCTCTAAAAATTATTATTATTATTATTCTCAGAATTTGTCAGCAACGGAAGAGGAAATCCCATAGCACTGTTGCCGTACCTACCGATTTTTCGGTATTTCTACCGAAATGGGATCTTATTTACCGAAATACCTAAATTGTTTTCCACGTCTTTTTAAATTAATTCAGATATTTCCACTCTTTACCGAGAAAGAGCTGGAACCAAATTTAAAGCTAAAAAATGAATGCTGTGTAGTCTATGTAGTTTTAGGCCCCATACCAGTCATACATAAGCACACAATTGTATACGCACATCCCTTATACAGTTTTCCCTATATTGTTTTTTGTGTACAAGAGGTTACAGCAACACTGTCCCATAGCCTGCGGCAAAAGGTGGCAACGATGGCGCCTAAATACTGTGATCGACACGCATATTGAATTAGGTACCTTCTGATGAAATATATTAACCAATGTGTTCAAACTAAAAAATAGTTGGTATCAGTGATGTTGGTGATACTGATGCATGAACATGATAGCTGGAGTTTCCTGCATCTCGCTTTCAGTTTCGTATTCCCCATCCACGGCTATCAAGATGATCTCATAGTTAACACAGGCGTTGAAGTTTTCCAGAATCATGTAGTCCTCATCGAACTGCGGTGTCGATTTTATGTACTCAGGATCGCCCTTGATACGGTACTTGACGTAAAAGTACTCGCCTGGGTTGTCGCTGGTCACATCTGGAATCCATTTGATCATTGTGTTGACCAAACAACTTGTGTGGGACTGAAATAAGAGAAAAATAATGTAGTCGAATAGATTGACTCTGAATTTGAATGAGTTAAAAGGAAAAAAGCAATCTGATGACAATTGCCAATGGTAGATAGATACCTTAATCGGTCATTTTGAGCTACTTATAAGAGCTAATTTCTAAAAACAGCCTTTTTTGTAAAGATAGCCCACGGCCTATGGTCTATGGAGTACCTTAAGGCCTCATAGAGGCATAGATTATGGACAGAAAGCTGCTTATCATCTTGAGTATATGGAGACATTTCTCGACATTAACAAAGCTTTTGGCCCGGACTTGATTTGTGCCAAAATCCTGCGCTTCCCACTGCTGATGCCTCCGTCAGATGGCATTAGCCGTATCAGATATGGAACGACCTTATTTACCTTGTCAGTGGGGCGCGTTGGTTATATGTTCAAACATTTCCAGATCTTTGTCAAGCCTCACACCCAGATACCTAATTGCATTTTGGATCCGAATCTCCGAATTATCAACTTGA